GAAAGAAAGAAAGAAAGAAAGAAAGAAAGAAAGAAAGAAAGAAAGAAGAAAGCAAGCAAAGTAAGAAAAGAAAGAATCTTAGGCAGGCTCCATACTCAGTGCAGAGCCTGACAGGGGGCTTGATCCCACGACCCTGGGATCATGACCAGAGCCAAAATCAAGAGTTGGATGTTCATCCAACTGAGCCACCCAGGTGTCCCAAGGTTTATTTTTTTTTTTAAGTCACAAAAATGGAACAGCAGAAAACATACCCATCTTGACTTTGGCCTGGGTGAAAGGAAATTCTTTCTCTGGAAATTTGTATCATAAGTTGTCCCTACACTTATTTTTCATTCATTCATATTACCCGTGTTGTGTGAAAAGTCTCCTGTGAAGAATTTAATGTAGAGTGGTTCTGGATTGAGTATGCCCCAAGGAACCTCCAAAAGCAGATGTAAATCCTCTCTGGAAGAATTTAACCTCAATGTGGTTTCAAAGATGTCTCAGAAATAAATTCCTCCCCCCAAATTATCTCATAGTCAAAAGTCATAAAACACACACACAAAACTAAGACAACATGGTAAGAACTAGCAGTAATAGATCTTGAAAATTTTGAGATTGGAATCATAAAACACAAAATAAAAAATGACTATGATTAATATGTTTAAAAATTAAGAGAACCTTGAACATTTGACACAGAAAAGGTAATTATAAAAATTATGAAAAATGGCAAAGATGATTTGCAAATTAACCAAATTAAATTTATTTTATTTCAAATTAAACAAATACTTGTTGAGTACCCACTCTATGCTAGGGCATGTACTAGATGTGTTCATGTACATAATCTATCTTATTTTCAACAACAAGTAATTATATTAAAGTGCTAAACTTGTAAACTTTCATCTTAAAATATTTTTCATTATTTTGTTTTCTCTCTACTATCTGAAAACTTTCTTCTGATCTATTGTCTAGTTCACAAATTCTCTTTGTTGCTGTGTCAAACTACTATTACACACATCTGTTATGTTCTTAATTTTGGTTGTAATTTTTTTTTTAATTTCTATTTGGTTCCTTTTCACATATGTCAAGTCAGTTTTTATACTTACTTCTCCCTAAAGATTTCTTCAATTTTGTCATTTGTTTCTTTAAACATGCTATTCATAGTTTTATAATTTTTGTCTGATTCCAGTATCTAAGGCTTCTGTGGTTCTGTTTCTGTGGTCTGTAGTTTCTCTTGTTTTTCCCTGATGGTATCTTGTTTACTGGCCCTGGATTACATTTAGGTATGTTCTGGTCATTTGATTTGAGAAATTATTCTTGGGAATAATTTGAGGCCTAGAATGATTTTAATCTTAACCAAAGAAAATTTTTGCTTGCTTCCTCCATGTGTCTTTCTTTTTTTTTTTTTTTTTTTTTAATATTTATTTACTTTTGAGAGACAGAGAGGGAGACAGAGCACAAGCAGGGGAGGGGTAGAGAGAGAGGGACACAGAAACTGAAGGAGGCTCCAGGCTTTGAGCTGTCAGCACAGAGACCATCACAAGGCTCGAACCCATGAACCGTGAGATCATGACCTCAGCCACCCAGGTGTCCCCTCAATGTCTCTTGATCTACCAGTCCAATAATGCCTCATCCATGCTCAGAGATTGAGGGTGCCCCGAATTACCCAGGTGATCCAAAGCTGGGCTGCAAGTCAGTGAGGGTACTCATTTATTTCCACTTGACCGTTTTCCTGAGGGCAAAGCCTGTGGGGTTCCATTTTAAGGTAGAACTCCCTACCTGGAGAGCGCCCAGGTTTTGTCTTTTGTCCCCTGTGCTTCCTTAGACCAATAAAACTGCTGCTCAGTTTTGTAGTTCCTCCTTCCAGAGCATCAGATGCCTTTCAGGCAAAAGCAGCATTCAGTGCCTGGCCGACTTCTCTAAGTTCTTGCCCTTTCCTACACTTTGACCCAATAATTTCTCACTATCATATTAGCTCGGGACTTGAAAAGCTTCAACAGAGATGAGCTTCTGGAAAGAGTTGACCCCTGGCTGCAAATTTGTTCTCCCCACTGGGGACCCTTCACTTCAACATTGCCCCTGCCATGCCTGAGCCCAGGGAATAAGCTGTCTCCTCTATAAAACTTTAGCTCAAAACTGCACAGAATCTTCAGTTCCCCTTAACTTTTCGAAACCATAGTGCCAAAACACTAAGGGTCTACTATAAGAAAGCAAAGTACAAGAAAAAAATATGATTGGCATTTCCCCAAAAAAATTGGTTTTGCTTTCTACAGTGAGACCTGCTGTTTAGAACTCCCATCAGGGTCAGGAAGACACATTCCTTTGGCACCTGGGCCCCCGAGAGCTGAAACTAAGAGGTAAGGCCCTCCCATTTAGTCTGAATTCTCTTCGGGGGAGCAGCCCTCGCTAGGGCTAGAGAATGGATAGCACTGTGAACTGTAACGCGCTGAAAGGCCTCTCCCTGCCTGGCTAAGTGTCTGAGCTACACGCTTCCCTTGAGACGTCCGATCCCTCTTCCAACCCAGAGAAAATCAATGAGGATTTTTTTTTATTTTTTTTTTCTTTTTCAACGTTTTTATTTATTTTTGGGACAGAGAGAGACAGAGCATGAACGGGGGAGGGGCAGAGAGAGAGGGAGACACAGAATCAGAAACAGGCTCCGGGCTCTGAGCCATCAGCCCAGAGCCCGACGCGGGGCTCGAACTCACGGACTGCGAGATCGTGACCTGGCTGAAGTCGGACGCTTAACCGACTGCGCCACCCAGGTGCCCCTCAATGAGGATTTTGATAGGAGGAGACTTCCATAGTCCCTCTCAAATCACATGCGAATAATTTAAACTCTCTCACACTGCACGACCCTTTACACTCAATGAAGGGCTTTGGCACACTGACCAGTCACCTGTATTTTGGGACTGTGCTGTCCAGTATGGGAGCCACCAGTCATGTGTGGCAATCGAACACTCGAGTACAGCTCTACGAACTGGTTGGGCTGTAAGCATAAACACCAAGTTTTCAACACTTCGTATGGTAAAAAAGAATGTACAACATCTCAGTAATTTTTTTAGTAACTAAATGTTGAAATGGTACTCTGGATATATTGAGTTAAATAAGTATATGATTAAAATTAACTTCACCTGCTTTTTTAAATTGGCTACTACAATATTTAAAATTACGTAAGTGGTTTGCATTATATTTCCCCTGGACGGTGTTGTCCCGAGGGTGATCTTGGTTCTAAAGACTGAATTTCCTCTTCCTGAATAGTTATTTTCTCAACTAGGATATTTTTTTAAGTATCTCTAGAAAATTCCTTAGCTCCTTTCTTAGCTCCTCAGACATACATGTCTGTTTTTGGAAGTAGCGTGATATAATAAGAAAAAAACACTTGGGTTCTAATCTCTATTTTTGTCATTAACTAGCAATGAAAGTAGTCAAATCATTTTATCGCTTTGGGTCTGAGTTTCTTTATGTAAAATAAAAGGGTTGGACTGGGGGGACCTATATGGTTTCTTCCAGTTCTATGATTATTTGATTTGATTATAAAATTTCTTCTAAAATATTTTCCAAGGATAATATAGACTTAGGTTTGATTATAAACTTTCTTCTAAAATATTTTCCTGGATAATATAAACTTAGCTTTTTATTACAAAAATATGTAATTTTTGAACCTTCTTTAAAAAATTTTTTTAATGTTGATTTATTTTTGAGAAAGAGAGAGAGAGAGAAACAGAGTGTGAGCAGGGGCAGGGGCAGAGAGAGAGGGAGATACAGAATCCGAAGCAGGCTCCAGGCTCTGAGCTGTCACCATAGAGCCTAACACAAGGCTCAAACTCATGAACTGCAATATCAGGACCAGAGTGAAGTTGGATGCTCAACTGACTGAGTCATCCAGGTGCCCCGAACCTTCTTTTGAAGAAGATAAAAAAATAAATACTTCCCTTGTTAAAAGGACAGACATTAGGCTAATTTATACAACCTTGCATACGCTAAAGTGTGTGTTTATTTTCTGTGCCGCCATTGTAAGTTTTGCCATGAAAACTATTTTGTTAATTACAGTTTTTTCCATTTTTCAGGTTCAATCTATGGCTATGATTATTGTCTATTGTATATAATTGATCCATTAGCTTCTCCTCCATGGGTCATTCTCATTCCTCAGACATACATGTCTTCTATATTCTCTTTTGACCATTTCTGGTTATATTTTTTATCTTATTCTGACCTTGCTGTGTCCTCTAATTCTCTTTCAGGGTTGAGCTCTCTTGCCATCTCATACCAGCACTCTGGTCACACTCTTCCACTCCTTTAGACTCAGGAACTTCTCCTTTAGACTCAGGATGCTCTCCTCATCCTTTCCAAAACAATTTCATCTGGAAAGATATAATAATAGGTACATTTCAGGTAAATTGCAATCTGCAGTTACTTCTGCAAAGTGTTGGGGGTGAGGTGGTGGGAAGGTAGGTCTTTGTATTTTAAGCCTTAATTTGCACCCTGAAATGAAAACCTTTATTCCTATTAAATTGAATGGACTGGTTTTTTTTTAATGTTTATTTATTTTTGAGAGAGAGAGAGAGAGAGAGCACAAGCAGAGGAGGGGCAGAGAGACAGGGAAACAGAGAATCTCAAGTAGGCCCGTGCTGTCAGTGCAGTGCAAAGGGGATTGAACCCACGAATCCTGAGATCATGACCTGAGTCGCAACCAAGAGTCAAACGCCTAACCAACTGAGCCACCCAGCTGTCCCTCAGAGTGTTTCTGTTCTATATTTAAATTGTCTTAAACTCCATCACAGTATGTGAATTCTCACACATTTATGCTTTGCAAGCCCTGCCCACACCTATTCTTTCTTGTGAAAATGTGGCTTTAGACGTATCTACAGTTACCTATGCAAGATTCCGACCGCTCAAGAAACCTACTCAACCTTAACTTTTGGACAGAGTTTGAGAAGCACTGAATTTGGCATAAGACAATCTAGGTTCATTATCTTAACCACACTGGAACTGGATGTATCACCTTGGACATATCCATGATTCTAAGGTAATCTGCTAAAAGGAGCCCTAATAACACCTGTTACACACATGTCACATGGTACTTCTGAGCATCTAAAGGAAATAACCAACATGAAAGCACTTACCAATGGTAAAGCACTACTCAGTGTGAGTGATATTGGGCATCCTGAAACTTCATGAAATTTTGTTCCTAGTTCCATTTTCCCTTCTTTGGGTCAGAATAAATACACTGACCCATTGAGTTTCGACAAGAACTAAGAATATGACTGAAGGTTTTCAGAATAATGGAAAGTTTCAAGTTAAGACGAAACGGTCACTGTCTTCATTCAATCATAATGACAGCTATGAAACACATATTAGAACTAATAACCTAAGTTATTTTACACAATTCATCTGTGAAACTCAATTTGTCAAGAAATAGTAAATGTTTTTTTTGAAATTCAAATGGAACCTGGGTGGAGGGATTAGGGTCAACGTTAAATTGCTAGTCATTTTAAGTAACAAATTCATGTTAATGTTATGAAAGTGGAGTGTAAAGAAAAGACTTTAGAATTAGATGTTAATCAACTGGATTTTTGAAAAAGGCTCCTACTCCTAAAATCGATGCAAAAATATTTTCCAAATAAATTCAAGTGCTGAAAAATATTATTCAAAGCATCTATAGAATATACACATGTGTGTACATGTATGTATGCATATATTCTTTCCTGTTATTTCTTTGAAATCAGAGCTACGAGACAGAGTTCTATCATCAATTAGTCTTGGAATTTAGTGAAAAAAGAAAAGAATTTGGAATCAGTCACTCGGTTCCGTCCACCTTCCCTGGCTTAGGAGCTATTTCCTCCTCCCTAAAAAGGGAGGCAATCCTGTCTGCTCCGCCTAACTCGCAGAGTTGTGCTAAGAACCCAGTGCGCCTTATGGGAAAGGCAGGTACGGTTGCTGATAGGACGATTAGAGGAGCCGGGCACTCAGCAATGCAGTTTTAAAAACCCCAGCTTTTCGCAGCTGGCGAAGAGAAAGGCAGTTCTCTTTACCCCAAATCTATTCCATTTTTTATACCATTTCAAATGTAGGTAAGAGGAAGGAGGGCCAGGGGCATTTAAGAAACCCGGACGCAGAAACTTCCTCTCCCCTCAGCTGTGTATATATACTCTTTCCCTTCGTCCGTCCGTTCAACAATATTTCTCAGACCCCTGTCGGGTTTGGGACCCTGGGCTGGGCAGCGACAGCCCCGAAGGGGAAAGGACCCAGAATGCGGTCCTGAGGAGCCTTCGGTCTAGGGAGCACACACTGGACCCGTAACTGCGGGCCAGCGAGGACCCGGGCCCCACCGCCCCACCCCCCGACTCCCGGCCCCGCCGCTGCCGAGCCCATCCCCCTACCCCTCCGCGGCGGCGGCTTGTTCCGGCCGCGTCCCCATGGCAACCAGTGGCGGCGCGGAGGGCCGGCTGCTGGCGGGGAGGGAGAGGCCCTAACGGCCTCGGCGGCCGCGGGGCGAGCGGACCCGGACGGCGGGAGCGCGGCGGCGGGTGGCGAGCGGCGGGCGGCGGG